TAGAAACCTCTGGGACTTTGCCATCTGGAGGCTGAGGCAGGAGATCTGCAATACTGAAGCCAGCCTGAACTACACAGTAAGACTATCCAGAAAGAAAAAGAAAGAAAAGAAAAAGAAGACGACAAGACAGACAGAAGAAAAAGAAGCCACTGTGACCAAAGCAAGACCGAAACCTAGCAAGGAAAACATTCTATCCTGTAGCTCCATGTGCAGCACCCAGGGCAAGTTGTGGCAAGATGTGAACATCAAAGGGCTTGGGCAGTGCTGCCCCTATAGCACTGTTGTAAGTAGTAGCCCTCATGGCTTCTCTCTTGGGCTAGCTTTGCTCAATTCTTATAGCTTTCTTCAGATGTTTCAGGTTCCAGGATTCATCAGCTACCTGGGGTCTCTACTTTAACTTCACACTCACAGCTTCACACACACTGCCTGGTCCCCCAAGACCTTCTCCTCCTCCTTTTAAAATTTTTATTAGTGAATGCTTGTAGCACACTATGTTTACATTCCATCCATCTGTCCGTCTGTCTGTCTGTCTGTCCGTCCGTCCGTCCGTCCGTCCCTCCCTCCCTCCCTCCTAATTCCTTTTTTCATCCCCTTTTCCTCTATCTCTTGATTCCCTTTCCATTTGAAAAAGATCTCCTGGACTGGCAGATAGCTTAGTGGACTAAAGCACCTGTTTAGGCAGAGCGCAATGGCTGGTGATCCCTGGTGTGCCATGCTGGCCCTGCCCCCAGGGTGTGCTGGGACAGTGATTGAGACTGGGCATGGTAGCACACCCCTGTAATCCCAGCATTTGGGAAGCTAAAAACAATAGAATCACCACCAGTCCAATCTGTGTAGTGAGACTCTGTAGAACCTGTACTAAAATACATTTAAAAAAATTTTTTTTTAAAAAAAAAGATCTGGCCCAGGGAGATAACTGAGTGGTCTAAGTGCCTGCCTGGCAAGCATAAGATCCTGAGTTCTGGGGTCCTGAGTTCAATCTCCAGTACAAAAAGAAAAGAAAAGAAAAGAAAAGAAAAGAAAAGAAAAGAAACAATGAAAAAGATCTCCTTACTTCCTATTTATCTTTTATTTTGCTCTGTATTTATAATTTGGGTTTCTCATATAAGAGGAACCACCATGTGATCTTTTAAGTTTGTGTGTCTGATTTATTTCACTTAACATGGTCTCCAGGTGCATCCATTTTCCTACAAATGACACCCTTCTTTATGGGAGAGCAGTGCTCTATTGTGTCTAAATACCACACTTTCTTTATCCATTTTTTTGTTGATGGACATGTAGGTGATCCTTCTGCCTCAGCCTCCCTAGTACTAGGGATTATAGGAATGCCCCAGCTTGCCTAGCTTGATATCTTTAACTCTTTTTAGAAAGGGAAGAGCTGAATTAAATGGAATTTCTAGTTTTAGTTTTTTGAGGAATCTCCATGCTGATTTCCATAATGGTTGTACTGAAGTTTCAGCTTTTCCTTGAAGTCTCCCTAGCATTGTTTTTATTCAACTTCTTGATGATGGCAATTTTTGTATCTGGGTAAAAGCCTCCTGGATCCCACAACTCTTGCATTCTAAACACCTATACCCCTGCAAGACCAGGACCATGTAAATGAGCACCAAGGTCTGTAGTCAGCTCAAGCAGTAGTCAGACCCTCACTGAATCATGCCTGCAGAGCCCTCTGCGTTTCTGGATGGCTGAGGACTATGAAGCAATCCCTGGATTCCCAGGAACAAAATTTTCTAGGTTGCTGCTTGCCAGTACAGTGTCCTAGGGCTTTCATTTTTGTAATTTTGAGCCTGTGAAACATAGGATATTGTTGGTTCTTGGGATGTCCTCAGGCCACCTTTTCTATTTTCCTGTCATAAAGTACTTGACTTTTAAAATTAATTTAATTTTTATTGTGAAATAGGGTCTCACTACGTAGGGCAGGCTGGCTTTAAACTCACTATGAAGCCCAGACCGGCCTTGAACTTGAGGTAGTCCTGCCTCAGTCTCCCACGTGCTGAGATTATAGGCATATGCCACCATGCCTGACCCTTTTTCTTTTACTTTTTAAAAATGTCTTTAGTACAGGATCTACAGGGTCTTACTACATAGACTGGACTCATAGTGATCTTGTTTTCAGCCTCCCAAGCGCTGGGATTACAGGCGTGTGTCACCACACCCAGTCTCAGTCCCATCTCAGCATGCCCTGGGGGTGAGGCCGGCACTGCACGTTGGGGAGCGGACGGGCCACTGCTCTGACTTAGCAGATGCTTTAGTCTGCTGAGCTACCTGGCCAGCCCTGTCTTTTACTTTTTGGAGACAGTGTCTCACTATGTAGTTCAGGCTGGCCATGAATGCCAATCCTGACAATCTTTCTGCCTGAGTCTCCTGAGAGCTGGGATTATAGATATGTACACCATGCCTGGTTTAATCTTTTCAGCAGTCAAACTCCCATCTGTCCAAACTTTGAAAGTCTGGATTTTATAGGAGTTTCTTTTCTGGTGAAACTCAAAACTTATAAAACCACTCAGTTAAATAGTAGCCATGCTACAGCCTGAATGCTAGACTACCTTAATTAACCTGACACCCTCTCAGTTCCCTATAAAGTCTCATTACAAGAGTAAAATGTAGGGCTGGTTGAGATAGCTCAGCGGACTAAAGTGTCTGCTTAGGCAAGCACAGGGACTGCTTGATCCCTGGCATGTACCAGCCCCACCCCCAGGGCTCATGGAGCTGGCCTGGAGGCCAGAGTCTCTGGCGTAGTGGATGCCTGTAATCCCAGCGCTGGGGAGGCTATAAACAGGATCACCATGAGTCCAAGCTATGCTGCATAGTGAGACCCTGCAACAACTAAATACATTAAAAAAAATAAAATAAAATGCAGACATTTTCTCTCCCCCCCCCCCCGCCTTTTTTGATACAGTTTCACTACACAGTTCAGCCTCTGAGTGATCCTGCTGTCTCAGCTCCCCCAGCGCTGGGATTACAGGTGTGCACCACCATGCCCAGCTTTGGGGCTGTCATAGCACACCCGGGGTTCCAGGGCCAGCACACATGTGGTACTGGGATCGAAGGGACCCTGCACTTGCCAGGTAGGGCTTGGACCACCAAGCTATCTCCCCGGCCTTAGACACATTTTCTGCCAGAGCATGATACACATGGAATCAAGTCCAACTGCCAGTAAACTCCTTCTTCTCAGCTGATACCTCCTGGACCTTCTCTTTACATCTGCTTTTCTATTCTGTATTCTGGTCTTCTGAACTCTGGCCAAAATTTTCCATTAAGCTTGATTCACAGCATTCCAACTCCTGCAAACCAGTTGAAAATACTTCTAAATTACATGTCTACACAGCATCAAAAAAATGGCACCAATGTCTGTCTTAGCTGCTTTCTTCGTCATTGACACACAATACCTGACACCCACAAACTAAAGGAGGGGAAGATTATTTTGCTTCATGTTTTAGTCGTATGTGGTTGGGACCAAGACAGAATGGCATGACATAGCAGCATGATGAAGGAATAGCTGCTCATGGTATAGAGGACAGGAAGAGGAGCACAAAGTAAGAAGGAAGTGAGATAAAGCCTTCCAGGTCACATCCCCAGTGACTTCCCTCTTCTGACCAGACCTCCGGCTCTTCATGTGCTCATAGGTGGGGCTATTGAAAAGGGTTTGGATTAGGGGGACTTATAGCTAGCTTGCCAAATAATGCAATGAAATCAAGGTGAATCTTTTGGGTTTTGTGGAATTCTGTCACCCACTCTTTGTGAATTTAACAACCACCAATCAAGGCTTACATTTCTCAGTCTATGTCCAAGTCAAGACTGACGAGAGAAGCTATTGCATAGTGTGGCACGACAAGGAACCAAGACAAGAAGAAACCCTGGCATGTAGAAAAAAAAGCATTAAAGACTCAATCCTACATGTTTTAAATGTTATCCTTCTTCAAAACTGAAGATCCTGATTTAGTCTGGAAGTGAAATACCCTCATCATTAACCAACTCTTCCATAGTACATGAAAAAGAATATTGAAACCAAAGTACAGCTACACAAAAATTATAGTAAGACAAGGAAAATGAGGCATAGGCCACTGTCTCCAATACCCTCCACTTCTGGTTCAAACCCTATCAGTGACTGCTCTGGCAAAAGCGTTAGCTAAGTGTTGAACTAAGCATCTTTGGTGTGCAAGCCCACAGAAATGGATCAAAAAGTTCCTTGAAAGTTAGCACTAGGTTGGGACCGGGGAGATAGCTCAGTAGAATAAGCACTTGCCTGGCAAGCGCAAGGGCCTGAGTCCAATCCCTGGTTCTGAAAAAAAAAAAAAAGCAAGTTAACACTAGGTTCGTCTTTTCTGCCTCAGTTCTGCTGATGTTTACTGGGTTCCTGGATTCTAATTTTAATCAATTCTTACTACTTTTCAGGTTCTATTTTTTGGCTTCTAGTCCCACAATACCGATCCTATCATTCTTCTGAATCCTTTATCATTACTATTTCTCAAGCCTCAAAATCCTAGGGCTGTGTTGAGATAAGCAGACCTTGTGATCTGATGTCCTTGTAGACAATGAGGAATAATCAAGCTCTAACTATGACTTGACCAGTGAGAAATGCTCATACTGGCCTTAATTCCAGTGTGAATGCTTCCCATGTTCAACGTCTTTTGGCTTTGAAGATCCTCATGAAAGTGGTAAGTAGTCAGATCAAGATAAGAGAACTCATGGCAAAAGTTCTTCTGGTCCCAGTTAGTCTTAGATAGTGATAGGCTTAGCCAGTACTTAGAAAGTAACAATGATATTCTAGAATGAAAAAAGTTCCAGCTTTCTTCAACTTGACCAACTAAAAATGCCACAAATTAATTACCAGCATCATTTGAAAAACAGGCTTGGACTTGTTGAAATGAAACCAAACCAGTTTATCCTCCCTGTAAGGATGGCAAACAAAGCAGCATGTTGAGGCAGGAGTTATGAGACCTTAAGACCAAAAGGGAGACTGAGTCATGCATAGGTTCAAGGACAACAGGCACACTGGAGAAACAGAATTACTGAGGAAGTGAGCCTTGTCCAACTGTTTCTGGCATCTCAACATTCCCTCTTACTTTTGTTCAATTCCCACCATCAGGTCACAGCCTACTACAGTAAAGGCTGCAAAACTTGTTTAGCAATGGAAAATCAAGTAGGCCTGGTGATACTTTTATTTTCCCATAACACAGGGCAATGATCACAGATATTGCTGTTCACAGTATTGTTTTATTTAGGCCCCTTTCCTTAAACAATGGAATGATGCCCTTAACCTTGATTTCAGACTTCACTGACTAAAGTTCTACCTGTCATCTATTAGCCCTGTTAGGCCAACAGGGGCATGGAGGAGACTTATTCCACGATATGTGGGTGGCTACCTTACAGATGGTAGCAGACATGCCCCAGCTAGCCTGATAAATACATAAGACATTCTAGGAGTTGCTTTTCCAAGAATGAAGTTCAATTCATTGATCACCTACTATGTGCAAGATTTCCACTTGGATTGCATAAAATACATAACTACCGAATGAAACAGGTTGTACTAATCTTATTTTACAGATGAATTAACTAAAGTTCAAAGTAATTTGTTAAGTAACAAGACTCAAACCAGTATTATTTACCCTAAACACAGTCCTGTAAGGCTTTTTCCCAAGCTCCCATTTGCTCTAAGACAATCAATGATTGTGTCCTTCCAACAACCAGCATTACATAGAATAAAACAAAACAAAAACAGAGAGAAGCAACTGTTACACTAATTTCACCTGCAAAGGCTTGTACAAGGAACATTATATTTATCAGAAAGAGTCACAAAAAATGGTAACACTCTTATAAGGCCATCCCAAGCAACATACCTAGTCTACTTGGTAGAGGAGAAATCCTCACTCTGGCAAATGTGCCACAAAGCCATAATCTTTTTTTTTTTTTTTTTGTGGTACCAGGGATTGAACTCAGGACCTTGCACTTGCCTGGCAAGCACTTATTCCACTGAACTACCTCCCTGGCTCCCATAATCTATTTTTAAATCATGTATGTTACTTGTTTTATAGTTAAATATCAGTTATTACTGGGGCATGATGTTAAGCCATGGTTAACATACCATAGTTTGAATTTTTTTTTTTTGGTACCAAGAATCCAATTCAGGATCTTGTGCTTGCCCTGAAGTACTGTGCTGCTGAGATATATCCTTGGCTTGAGATTTTTAACATTAACCAAATTGTTGGGGCCAGGGAGATGGCTCAGTAGAATAAGTGCTTCTCTGGCAAGCGCAAGGGTCTGAGTTCAATCCCTGGTTCCGGAAAAAAAAAAAAAAAAAAATTTGTTGGAGGTATCACCACCAAAGTACAGTAAATAAGCCATTTTGGAAAAAGCCATTAAGAAATCAATTCTTTGATCAAGGGTATATCTTGGTGGTCAAAACTTGTTAGCATGATAAGGCCCTGAATTTTTTTTTTAAATATTTATTTGTGTGTGTGTGTGTGTGTGTGTGTGTGTGTGGCCAGCTCAGCCCACCAGGGGGCGGGGCTGGCTGGCTGGTGCTGGGGGATTGAACCACAGTCCCTGTGTTTTGCTTAGCTTAGCTTGTTCTAAGTAGGTGCTTTAGACCACTGAGCCATCTCACCAGCCCAAGCCCTGAATTTGATCCCTACCACTACTCAAAAAAATAAAGATTGGGGCATGATGCCACATGCCTGCAATCCCAGCATTTGGGAGGCTGCAACAGGATGATTCTGTGAGTTCCAGGCCAGCCTGGGCTACATAAGTGAGTAGTACTACATTCGGAGATTCTGTTTAAAATGAAAGGAAAAAAAAAAAAAAAGATTAGCGTTTACACCACTGCCCAAAAATTGTTTTTAACTTTCCTTCATCTCTACACACTAAGTCCTAGCAGGCCATGATGATGAACAACTAATTCTGGCGCCCAGGAAGCTGAAGCAGGACTGCTCTGGGCATGAGGGCCAATCTGGGCACACAGTGAGTGCAAATCTAGCCTGTACTACATAAGAGACACCCTATTTCAAGTAAACAAACATACAAACAAAACCCACAAAATACTGAACACCTCACCTAGCCCTAGAAAGATTCAAAAACTACAAAAGACCTGAACACTGAAGACTATGACATTGCTAAAAGAAATTAAATATGCCAATAAATGGAAAGATATCTAAGTTCATGGATTGGAAGACTTCATATTATGAAGACATCATTACTATAGACTATAGGTTCAGTATAATCTCTATGGAAATTCTAACATTTTTGCAGAAACAGAAAAACTCAACCTAAAATTCATATGGAAACTCAAGAGGTCCCAAATTGCCACAATTTTGAAAAAGGAGATCAAAATCGAGACCTCACAATTCCCGCTTTCAAAATTTACTGCTGGGTGTGGGATACCACATCTGTTATCCCAGCACTTGGGAGGCTGAGGAAGGAGGATTACTCTGAGTACAAGGCCAGTCTGGGCTACAAAGTGAGTTCAAGGCTAGCATGAACTGCAGAGTGAGATCCTATCTCAAAAAGACCATAACATAACATAAAATTATAGTTACAGTGATCTAAAAACCATGGTACTGGCATAAAACTAAAAATAGAACAACAGATTAGATGCTCTATAAATAAACCCTCATGATATGGACAAATGATTTCTGATAAGGATACAACGATTATTCAACAGGGAAAGGAGTTTTTTTAAACAAAAGGTGTGAGGAAAACTGGATATCCATATGCAAAAGAAAGAGGCTGGATCCTTACATAACATCATATAAAAAAATTTAAAAATCAAAGAAAGACCTAAGCCAGGCATGGTGGCTCCTACATGCATTTGCAACTACTAGGGAGGCTCAGGTAGGATCACAAATCTGAGCATAAGGGCTGGCCAAATAGCTCAGGAGAGTAAAGCGCCTGCAAGCAGGTGCAGGGGCAGGGAGTTCGATCCCCAGGCCTGTCGTGGGCAACTGAGACTGGGCGTGGTGGCATGCACCTGTAATCCCAGCTCTTGGGAGGCTGTAAACAGGTGGATCACGGCGAGTTTGATCTAGTAGTGAGAACCTGAACACCCTGTATACCCTTCCCTAAAATAAAAAAAAAAAAAGCCAAAACCATATCTGAGCATAGTCCAGACAACAAGCTGACCTTCTCTCAAATATAAAAAAAAAAAAAAATGGGCTGGGGATATGTAAGACCCTTGGTTCAATTTCTAGTACTACTAAAAAGCAAATAAAACACTTGAAACTTCTGTACATTAAGGGATACAACAGAATGAAAAGGTAATCTAAAGAATGGAAGAAAATATTTCTGAATCACATAAAAGAGATCCTTTTTTTTTTTTGCAGAACCGGGGATTGAACTCAGGCCCTTGCGCTTGCCAGGGAAGTGCTTATTCCACTGAGCCATGTCCCCGGCCCCAAGAGATGCAATTTTTAAATAGTCAAAGAACTGGAGACATTTCTTCAGAGATATACAGATGGCCAATAAACATATAAAATGCTCAATATCACTACATTATTATAGAACTGCAAAATCAAAACTACCTCACATTTGTGAGGACAAATTACCAAGTGTTGAAAAGGATGAGGAGAAACTGAAACTTCATACACTGCTGGTAGGAATACATGATGAAACCTTGCACATAGCTGCTATGGAAAATAGTAAAAAGAGTCACCACATGATCTACCAGTTCTACTTGGGTATAAGTCCAAAAGAAAGGAAAGTGGAGTCTCAAAGAGATGTTTCTACAACTAAGTTTATAGCAAAATTATTCACAATAGCCAACAGGTAGAAGCACATATATGAATATTAGTCTTGAAAAGAAAGTGTGGCACACACTTGGAGGATATACTAAGCAAAAAAAAAGTCACATAAGGTATATATGGTAATTAAAAAACAAGTAAGGTACAGCCAGTAAGATAGCTTAGTGGACTAAGCGCCTGCTTAGGCAAGTGCAGGGACCGGCGTTTGATCCCTAGCACCACATGCCATACCCCTGGGTGCACTGAGCCAGTCACCATCACCAAGACTGGGAGCATTGATGCACACCTGTAATCTCAGTGCTGAGGAGGCTGAAAACAGGAGGACCACTGAGTCCGAGCTGCATAGCAAGACCCTGTACCAAATGCATAAAAATAAATAAAATAAAATAAAAATAAAATAAAATAAAAAAATAAGGTAAGGGGCTGGGAGGGGAGGGTGGAAAACTGTTGCCTGATGAGTACAGTTTCAGTTTTTTGGTTTTGAAAAATCATTTATTTTTTTGGTACAGGGTCTTGCTACACAGCTCAGACTTGTAGTGACCCTTCTGTCTCAGCCTCCCCAGCACTGGGATTGCAGATAAGTGCCACCATGCCTGGTTTCAGGCTAGCACAGTATGCAGAACCAGGGATCGAATGCAGGTCCTTGTGCTCGCCAGGCAGGTGCTTAAGACTGCTGAGCTATCACCCCAGCTACAGTTTCAGTTTTTAAGATAAAAATTTTGAAGACTGGTTGTACAACATGAACTTACATTAAAAGAACTGCATATTTAGAGAAGGATTAAGATGCCAGGTGTGGTGTTCTACTCCTGTAATCTCAGCACTCAGGAGGCTGAGATAGGAGGACTTCACATGAGATCAAAGCCACTCTGGGCTACATAGTGAATTCAAGGCCAGCCTGGATTACACAGTGAAACCTTGTCTCCAAAAAAATACAGATGGCAAATTTTGTTATATTTTATTATAAAAATTGTTTTAAAAGTTCAAATTGTATCTGGGTGTAGTGTTACACACCTGTAAACCCAACACTCCAAAAGCCTAAGATAGAAGGATTATAGAGTCAAATCTAGTCCAAACAATTTAGTGAGGGACCCTGTCTCAAAATTTAAATAGGGCTGGGAATGAGGGTATATACATGTAACTCCAACACTTGGGAAGCTAAGGCAGGAATGTTCAAGACCAGCCTAGGGAAAAACTAAATTAAAAACAAACAAAC